TACTATTTTAGTCGTTGCCTAATCATTATTTTAAAATTAATTTATTCCTTTTTGGTATTTTCATCATTAGCTTTTAACCATTCTTCTTCACTTGCATAATAGTATTGATTATAATTACAGATTATAAGATGCCTGTTAACAGAGAAGGTCGTGTAGTTGATTATACGACAAGTGAGGAAATACATGATCTTATGGAAGGTGGTAATGACTATTGTGTGTAAGTTTCGAATTAAGAATTCGTATTCAATCAATTGATTAGCGTGTATATTACAAAATTATTATTGTTTCAGGGAGTTTACTGGCTACTTGCTCGAAGTTTTTGGTCGCACCAAAGTAGGAAAGAACGAAGAGTACGACTTATTCAAGGCTGTCATTACCAATGGACATTTGAGAATAATGTTACTCATTTGGAACACAGGAGTGATAGACAAGTTGACTCCTGAACTTTTAAATCATAGGGTATCTTAAAATTTTTAAATATGTTTTTTTGCCTCTGTCTGTCTGGTTTTCTCTATCTCTCTCTCTTTCCCTTTTCCGCTCACTCTTTCCCTCCATGTATTTCTTTATGTGTATGCATGTATATATGTTTATATGAATTTTTTCAGATTTTACATCTTGATGGTGCTCAAGGACAACTTGTGATGCAACGAAAACACCACAGGGAACAAAACATTGTCAATTATGAATTGATTATCCAGAAGAAAACAATTGTTGACTTCGAAGGATATCATGTGGTCGAACAAGCAGCACCTGCTCCAGTGCAAACTGTTTTAATGAAAGATCTTGGAAGAGCTACAGGAGAAGTTCGTAAGTATAACAAGATAAAAATTAATTGTCATTTTATAACCAAAACTAAATATTCATTTTATATTTTTTTTTAGTTGTTGAATGCCATATCAAGACTGTTGTAGCTGTCAATTCCAACAAATCTGGCAAGATGTCCTTTGGATCTGGAACAATAACCGATGGAGATTTCAAGATTCCACTTCAAATTGGTTCGTTCACAGATAAAGATGGATCATCTTTCAAGAAAGGAATCTGTGTCCTTGTAAGAGGCACTGTTAGTAATGCAGGTATATTTTTAATAAATCTATGAAGCCTATACAAATTTTTTAAAATTATAAATTTTTTTTATGCAATTTAAATCAAGTAAAAATTGTATAAATTATACATTCATACTTTCATTATTAATTTAATTATCATTTGTTTGTTTAGGTCCTGTTAGTGTTCATTGTCCGGATATTTCATATGTTAAAATTTTGGCTGATAAACCAGCACTTGATGTAGACAAAGTTAGAAAAGCAAACAAAACTTTGAAACGTCCACTGGAATCAGATGAATCAGGTAAATCTCCAGCCAAGAAAACCTTTCAGGAAACTGACATTTAAAGTGTGCCATCATCTTATGTTTTTTATTTTTGAATTTTATTTTCACTTTTGTTCTTTGTCATGGCACGATAAACATTAATATCATACTTTTGCAACATTATAATTATAACCATTAAAAAAAAAATTTTTTTTCTTTAACATTTTCAAAAAATCTAATTAGAAATATTCAATTACTACTACAATTTACATAAATATTTCTTCATTTCAACACATAATAATTAGACATTCTCTGTATATTACTTTTAACAATTTAAAGAGTAACTTACGTGATATATTAGTATTTTTTATATTAAAAAAAATAAGATTGAGTGTACTAAAAAAAAATTCACTGTGATGACAAACTGCGTGGATAAATAACACAAGGTGTTATATATAATGTTGACATGTTTATTATCCCGTAAGGGAATAAGTAACTCATTAACTTGTAAGGGGATAAGTAACGTATGGGTCCACGATGTATACTAAGAAACCATTGTTATTTGTAAGATTATTATATTATTTATAAATTACCACGGTTACTTGTTCGATGTCAGAAAAACACTGGTTTTCAAACACGCGCTTAATCTCTTTCTCTCCTTTTGATTTACACAGACACATGCACATTAAATTTATAAAACATAATGCCAACAGTGAACAAATAAATATTAAATTTATAATAATCTTTTTACAAATAATATTGGAAACAATCTTAAGACTGTTTAAAAATCGTAAATTCCTACATATATATTAGGATTAGTCATGAGTGAATGTTTTTGAACTGTGATGACCGATATATATATCGTAAAATATATTCTAATAATATAATTCACACGAAATGTTTTATATTTCAATAATATAGAATTTAAAGTAATGTCCTAATTTATTATATAAAAATTATGTAATATTCAATAATATATTATATAAACGAACTTATATCAATATATTATATAAACGAACTTATTATGCAGCGACAACATTGTAAAAATAATTTAACATAATATATCTAACTGATTGATGTAACTTGAATTTAACTTAGATTGTAATGTAACTTGTGCGTCACTTTAATATTTATATTCAGCGATAAACATAAAAAAATATTACATGTTTCTGTGTAAAAACAAACAAAATGTGTAGCCATAACAGTAAAAAACGACGTCTAATTATATGTATTACTTTTTTGAAGTTGTATCGACATTTACTCACCGACAATAAAAAATAGTTAGATTTTCATGTATAAATAAATACATGGTAGTAATTGAAAAATTTCAATACATGAACAATATATTGTGTAAACTTATTTATTACCCTATTGATGACCACATGCAGTATATAACGAATAGAGAAAAATATGAAGAACGTTTTGGGGACATAAGAATGCAAGCAAATAACGAAGAATTCTGCGAACAAATTATATTTGGTTTTATTTGGCACATTTTTTACAAAATTGTATGGGTTGAGACTTGCTATATCATATATGCTTGGAAGGGTATTTTTTCCGCATTTTTAGAATATATATTTATATAAAGCTTTGCTATATCCACCTTTACGCGGTATTTTTTGGCAAATTATACATTACGACATTATTATTATTACTTTTTTTCCTTTGTTTTCTCTTTATATACATGTAATATTTAATTTATTTAAAGAACCGCCGCAATTAATTATTTACAACTTTCCGGTAATTCCTAAAATCTCTGTAATAGTCTGTAAATATAATAAAATCATTCAATTATAGTTAAATCCGAAATAATATTCGTACAATTTCACGATTACTCCATCTATCGGGACGATATGGATTTTCAATTGACTAATATTACCAGTGTTCACACTCATGTCGCACATGGTCGCGAAATAAGTTCGTTAAATTAACGTTAAACTTGGAAGTAATTTCTAATACACAACATTTTCCTTCTCGCGCATATGTTCAAATAATTTCTATGAAACAATTAATAATGGTAAGTATATTCTCAGTGAGTTGAGTTTGTGAAAAGTTTGTTTTTCTTGTTGACTTGCAACTTGTCAAAGTTTTCCATCCAGAGCGTACTAAACTTTTGGATTTTGTTTTATACTATATATGCTAGCCATAATATTTAAACTGCGTTTTAATTTTAACATTTTTTTATTATAAATGCATTATATGACATTTCATGATAAATTTTCAATTATATTTCATATAATGTTTTAGAACACAATCAAACAAACAGAATTAATTTTAGGTTATAAATGAAATATATAAAATATTCTATTTACAATTATGCTCAAATCGATAGCAATATTAAAAAAAAAATAGATTTCTTATTTACATCTATTCATCCATAAAATAATAGAACTGCTGACAATTGCATTTCAAATTAATCAATGACACAAATTCAATAAATTATATGAACAATGTATTGAAATGTATCATAAAATTATTTATTTGCTTGAAGTACCACAATAGCCTTATGCTTTTTCATTTTTCTTCTATTCTTTCTTAATAAAAACACTATAGGATGTTATACCATACATTTTTTCATCAAATATTTTGCACCTTGCAGGTCAGTTAATTGTAACTGTTTTATGTACAATAATTTGCACGGATACATGATAAAGTCATCACAGAAGCAACAACAGCCGTTTCACTCTGAATTTCATTTATATCAGCTGTATAGTTACATTCAGCTCGATAGACTTATATTGTACTGGTACGTATGCAAAATTGAAAACTGTATAACCGTTTCGGTTGCATTCTTTGATGTGTTGTTCAATACACACATTCATTTACAACATCTTATTAACTTGAAAATTCAATTTATTTTTAGTAATACCAATCAAGGTGGATCCTTACCTCAATTTCATAACTTTTTATTGAACAACTTGTAAGACATAGAATTTTAAGTCCTTCATGTAATATTCTTAGTCTTTTGAGACCAAATTCTGTGCAAATACTTCTGTTCAAAAATTGTAGTTGAACAATAAAGAAAATAACATTTGAGGTAGAGATCAACCTTGAATGTATAACACGAGAAATTAATATAATTTCTCCATATAATAATATTACTTCTTTTTTAGTTTTTTGACAAGAGAAAATCGTGGCTGTGAACATTTTACGCTGTTTGAAAATAAGGTATATATTGTGTTTTTTACCGTGTTCAGTATAAACAAAATAAATATATACAATGACTTTTTTTTGTTTCAGGTCTTCATATATAAAACATTAATGATACAAACTATTCAATTTCACATTTTACGTAATATTTATGAATTAAATTTGTAAATATTATTGAATAAATATACAATTGTCAATTGAATTTATTCAATTACATTATTAGAAGTATACCTGCATACATTATCCTACCTAACTATACCATAAAAATAATAATACTTTACGTTACCTAACGATTCAATATATAAATAAAAATATACGTTACCACAATACCTTACTATTACTTATTAATAGAACTTGAAACGTCATCGTTAAATACGAAATTACGAATTTAATTACTAAAATACGAATTTTATTATACATACGAAAAATGAATACGAACAATTTTTGACATTGAAACTTTATAAAAAAAAATTCTTTGAAGCTATTTTTCTTGATCCTACTTCACTCTTATTTTTTACTAATTAGTGATTCTATAAATTATCATTATGCCTAGAAAGAAAATCGTTAGAACTCCAGAAGAACAAGAAGCGTTTCTACAAAATCAGCGACGTCAAAGAGCAGAACGTCAGCGTATCAGGCGACAACAAATGCGACAAAATGTTAATGACAGCAATAGACTTAACCAACACTCTGTTGAAAATAATATAAATACTCAAAGTTCCATTACTCTAGATTATTTAAGTAAATTAGATGTTGCTTGTAAACATTGTCATGCTTTACATTTTAAAGATGAGATGGTGCAAGATAAAGGATTATCATTTAATGATTGTTGTGGTCATGGAGCAGTACTTTTAGATCCTTTATTACAATTTCCAAAAGATCTTGAAACGTTGTTAAAAGGAGAGCACCGCTTATCTGTTCTTTTTTTCGACCATATAAGAGCTTATAACAATTCGTTATCTTTTGCTTCCTTTAATGCAAATTTAGTCAATTTTCAATCCCGCAGACTAGGTCCATATTGCTTCAAAATTCAAGGCCAAGTTTATTATCAAATAAATACATCTCTATACCCATGTAACAATGAAACACCATCTTATGGACAATTATTCATCATTGATCAAGACGAGGCTGTAAATTATAGAATGAACACTTTTTCGGCTTTAAATCAGGATATTAACTTAATGTTAGACACTATAATACGTGAGAATAATATTTTTGCACAATCATATAACATGATGAGACAAGAGATAGAAATTCAACAAGCGTTGTTTAACGAGACACATCAGCCACAACCAGCATTACAATTGTTATTTTCTTTGAAACCTGGTCAAGACGTTCGAAGATATAATATTCAAAGAGCAAATGAAGTTGCTGCAATATTTTCTACAACAGCGGATGGCGAAATTCCAGAATCATACGTTTCAATTAGAAACAAAAATATGAAATCTTTACAGTTCGTTAGTACAATGGATCCTAATGTAGAACCATGGGTATATCCTTTATTTTATCCATATGGTTCTTCCGGTTGGCATAGAAATTTAATGCGACAAAATAGTAATCGACGTGTTACACGTACAGCATACCACCGATTTCATATGGCAATAAGGGAAAACGAATTTAATCCATTCATTTTAGGACGTAGATTATTTCAACAATGGGTTGTAGATAGTTACGTAAAAATTGAAAAAGATCGCATTCAGTACCACAAAGATCATCAAAAAGAAATACGAGCTGACACATATCAAGGTTTAAAGGATTATGTTCAAAAATCTGCAGATGCTGCGAATGGTCAAGTAGGTAAAACTGTTATTCTTCCATCAACATTCCTTAGATCACCACGTTATATGCAACAATGTTATCAAGATGCTATGGCCATAGTCAATGAAAAAGGAAAACCTGATATTTTTCTTACTACGACATGTAATCCAAATTGGAAAGAAATAAAAGAAAATCTTTTACCTGGTCAACAAGCATGTGACAGACCTGACCTTGTTGCAAGAGTATTTCATTTGAAAAAAAATCGCTTAATTGAATTAGTTACAAAAAAAAAATTATTTGGTGAAGTTGCATCCTGGGTTTACGTTGTTGAATTTCAGAAAAGAGGTTTACCGCATATGCATTTATTAATAACATTAGCAGCAGGACATAAATGGTTTACTGCAGAAATTATAGACAAGTTTATATCAGCTGAAATTCCAGATAAGATAAAATATCCACGATTGCATGATATTGTAATTAATCATATGATACATGGTCCCTGCGGAGATTGGTGTGTAAAAGATGGTAAATGTTCAAAACATTTTCCAAAACCATTTCAAAGCGAAACTAATATGGATGAAAATGGCTTTCCAGACTATCGAAGACGAAATGATGGTATAACATATGAAAAAACAAATAATCATATTGTTGACAATAGTTGGGTCGTACCATACTGTGCAATATTATTAGAAATGTTTGACTGTCATATTAATGTTGAAGCTGTATCAAGTATTTCAGCTGTAAAATATTTATACAAATATATTTACAAAGGCCATGATGCAGCAACAGTTATTATTCAAGATTCTCAAAATGGAATAGTAATAGAACATGATGAAATATGTCAATGTCTTGATGCACGCTATGTCGGTCCAGTTGAAGCTTGCTATCGTATATTAAGTAAACTTTTACAAGATAAAAGTCATACAGTTATTCGATTACCGGTACATTTGGCGAATGAACAAAATATTATATTCTCGGAATCATGCGATGAATTAAATTTAGAAGATTACGCTAACGTGAGTAGTATGTTAATGGATTACTTCAAATTAAATCAAGACAGTGAAATTGCAAGACAATATTATTATACTCAAATCCCGGGTTTTTTCGTTTACGAAAAAAAAAAAGTTAATGGAATTTATGAATCAAAATGGAAAACTAGACAAAACCATTTTAATACTATTGGTAGAATGTTCTCTGTTAGCCCAGCACAACTTGAATTATTTCAATTAAGATTATTATTATTACATATCAAAGGAGCTACGAGTTTTCAATACTTGAGAACAGTGAACAACATTATATACCCAACATTCACAGCAGCTTGTTTAGCTTTAGGTCTGATCGAAAATGATAATGAATGGGATATAGCTTTGAGTGAGGGAGTAAAATGGATGATGCCTCAAAGATTTCGTTTCTTATTTGCTCGTATTTTAATACACTGCCAGCCAGTTTTACCAGAAAAATTGTGGGAAACCTATCAAGATGCACTATCAGAAGATTTTTCTCGAAATCATCAGAAAAACATTGCTCATCAAATGGCATACTCTGATATAAATAGAATATTGAATAATGAAGGTAAAAGTTTAACTGACTTTCCGTCGATGCCACCATTATTAGTAAATAATATAAATGAAGAAATTACATCATTGCAGGAAATGGCAGACAGAGGTCAGGAAAAATATAATAACTTGAATACTTTACAAAAAAAAATAGTTGATTTAGTTAACAATGCTGTTACGGATGAAAACTATAACGGCCCAACTTGTATTTTTATGGAAGGACCTGGCGGATCAGGAAAAACGTACGTTTATGAAACTATGTACGATTTACTTACATCTAAAAATGTAGAAGTATGTACCATGGCTTTTACTGGTATAGCTGCTACTTTACTTCCAAATGGAAAAACATGTCATAAAATATTTGGTTTACCAGTACCCATGTTTAATGATTCTACTTCGCATATCAAAGCGCAATCTAAAGAGGCTGAAAAATTTAGAAAAATAAAAGTATTTATCTGGGATGAAGCTCCAATGGCTCCTAGATACGCTTTGGATATTGCAAATAAACTGTTGCAATATATTATGGGAAATAATTTACCATTTGGAGGCAAAATAATGGTTTTAGATGGAGATTTTAAACAACTATTACCTATCAAAGTAAGAGGGACAAGAAATGAAACTTTAAACCTATCAATAAAATATAGTTCAACATGGCCATATTTTAAAATATTTAAATTGACTACTAACATGAGAGTTTTACCAAATGAAATTGAATTTTCTAATTTTTTATTAGATATTGGAAATGGTACATTGACTGATAAGGATGATTTTATCGATGTTCCTCAACATTGCATATTATCATCTACAACAAAAATTACTGAAGGTATTTTTGGTGATCTTATTCGCGACAAAAAATATGATGAAATGAGTAGTTGTGCAATATTATCGGCTAGAAATGAAGATGTTGACAAAATTAATATACAAATAACCAATTTATTAGATCCAACTAATGAACGTTTATACACTGCAATTGATAGTGTTGTAAATAATAATAATGGTGAAATGGATGAAATAATTATGCCTGAATATCTCAATTCGCTAAATCCATCATGCTTACCGCCTTACAAATTAAATTTAAAAATAAATTGTATTGTAATGTTAATTAGAAACATAAGTATTAATGAAGGATTATGCAATGGCACAAGATTACAAATCATAGATTTATCAAATCATCTATTGAAATGCAAAATTTTAACAGGTGATAAAATTGGACAAATTGTTTTCTTAAACCGTATAACATTGTTTTGCGAAAATGAATACCCATTCGCTTTTAAGAGAAGACAATTTCCAATTAAATTAGCATTTGCTATGACAATCAATAAATCTCAAGGACAAACGTTTAGAAAAGTGGTCGTTGATTTACGTAGGGATGTTTTTAGTCACGGACAATTATATGTTGCATTTTCACGAGTTCGATCATGGGATTCTATAAAAATATTTTTTGGAAATCATACACAAAAACAAAAAATAAAAAATTACGTTTATAAAGAATTATTTCGAGATAATAATTAATAATATTTTCAAATTTATTATTTGAGTTACATATACGGATCGATTGAATGAATTACTATATAAATGAAAATTCTGTCGCTCAACAAGCATATATTACCGCGCGCGAATCGCGCATGCAAACATCTAGTCCTTACTTAAAAGAGAGAAGGTTTGAAAAGTGAAGCCTGTAAACGTTTTGATTGGTCAGTTGGAGATGAAAATTGAGACGTTTGATTGGCTTATAAACTTTGAATGTGAAATGCAGCTTAATGTGTCCATAACCTCACAAAACTTATATTCAGCGATAAACATAAAAAAATATTACATGTTTTTGTGTAAAAACCATACAAAATGTGTAGCCATAACAGTAAAAAACGACGTTAAATTATATGTATTACTTTTTTCAAGTTGTATCGACATTTACTCACCGACAATAAAAAATAGTTAGATTTTATGTATAAAATATATACATGGTAATAATTGAAAAATTTCAATAAATGAACACAAGCTTCAATTTTTTTGTGACAGTCATTTTTTTGTACGTACTAATTCAAACAAATTACATTGGTTTTATTCGTTATATATATATAAATATATGTTTGGAAGGGTATTTTTTCCGCATTTTTAGAATATACGACATTATTATTACTTTTTTTTCTTTTCGTTTTCTTTTTATACACGTGTAATTTTTAAATGTAATAAAATCATTCAATTGCAGCTAAATCCGAAATAATATTCGTACAATTTCAAATTATCTTGCACTCGCAGTCGCAAGAAGATGGGTGGAAGTGGAGATTAAAGTAGCGCGGATTGTTTTTCGTGGATGCAGATTTGACATGGAGATAATTTTTTTTCTTGAAATTTTTAATGGCGTGAACTGTCACATGTATTGGGACTATTGGTAGTACTGCCTCGCGTGGCTAGATAGCGCATAGCGCTGGGTACAGCAGCCTTTTGTCTTTCGTGAATCGTGCGTCGAAGAGTAGACATCGTCACACACACCGTTCGCTACACACGCCGTTCGCTGTTGCAAATTTTCGTGTTTTTATCATTTCGATTTTCCGTGGATTCTCTAAGGTAAGTCTTTTAGCAATTAAACTATGTACGAAACAAGGTTTTCATCGCTATTTATTTAAAGAATGCTGTACAATTATAGTAATTATATTCATAGCTGTCTTTTGTCTTTATATTATTACCTATGTTAACCATGTGTTTTTTAGTCTTTGTTGAAATCGTGAACCTCAACTTTTTTTTTAAGTAAAAAAAAATAATAAGTTAATTGCTCTCTACTTGGGCAGATTTACAATTCGTTTGTCAATGCAATACAGTAATTATCATAGATTCATTAATTTTTAAATTAAAATCAAGGAAGATTCAAAATCTCAACGGTTGAGAACACTGAATACAAAAATGAAGTTTTTTTTTTACTATTTTAGTCGTTGCCTAATCATTATTTTAAAATTAATTTATTCCTTTTTGGTATTTTCATCATTAGCTTTTAACCATTCTTCTTCACTTGCATAATAGTATTGATTATAATTACAGATTATAAGATGCCTGTTAACAGAGAAGGTCGTGTAGTTGATTATACGACAAGTGAGGAAATACATGATCTTATGGAAGGTGGTAATGACTATTGTGTGTAAGTTTCGAATTAAGAATTCGTATTCAATCAATTGATTAGCGTGTATATTACAAAATTATTATTGTTTCAGGGAGTTTACTGGCTACTTGCTCGAAGTTTTTGGTCGCACCAAAGTAGGAAAGAACGAAGAGTACGACTTATTCAAGGCTGTCATTACCAATGGACATTTGAGAATAATGTTACTCATTTGGAACACAGGAGTGATAGACAAGTTGACTCCTGAACTTTTAAATCATAGGGTATCTTAAAATTTTTAAATATGTTTTTTTGCCTCTGTCTGTCTGGTTTTCTCTATCTCTCTCTCTTTCCCTTTTCCGCTCACTCTTTCCCTCCATGTATTTCTTTATGTGTATGCATGTATATATGTTTATATGAATTTTTTCAGATTTTACATCTTGATGGTGCTCAAGGACAACTTGTGATGCAACGAAAACACCACAGGGAACAAAACATTGTCAATTATGAATTGATTATCCAGAAGAAAACAATTGTTGACTTCGAAGGATATCATGTGGTCGAACAAGCAGCACCTGCTCCAGTGCAAACTGTCTTACAAGGAAACCCCCCCAACACGACCTCACCGATTTCAATAATCTTTTGATATGTTATAGTTCATCAAAAAATAAGACATACGTATTTTTTTTTATCGGCGGAAAAACACTTTGAGGGGGTGAAAACAACCCTCAAAGTTCACCCCCAAAAATAGATTTTTCAATGTATCTCAAGCAAACTAGCACATGCAATTCCGACCACAAGGGATGCAACCCTTATTTTTTTTATTTAAAATACTATCTATTTCATGGCTATTTTTATGAAAAAAATTAAAATAACCCGAAAAAAATTGGAAAAAATATTACCCTACATAAAATACAAAAATAAAGTTAATCTAGTCAAGCTTTTTTTCAAACTACCCCCTTAAAGTTGAAAAACCACCCCTAAAAAATTGTTTTCAATACATTACAGGTGGTGTTGATAATTTAGTGTAAAATTTGTTAAGTATCATTTATACTGTACAAAAACAACTATCTCGTGCAGTTTCGACCACAAGGGTTGCAACCCCTAATTTCTGTCATCGAAATTTTTACCTTCTTTGTACCTATTTTTGAAAAAAAGTTCATAATGAGCTTGAAAAAATTAGTAAAAATATTACCGTGGATAGAATAAGAAAAAAAATTTACCTTTTATTTTTAAAACCACCCCTTATGTTGAAAAACCACCACCAAAAAATTGTTTCCAATACATTACAGGTGGTGTTGATAATTTACTGTAAAATACGTTGCGTATCATTTATAATGTACAAACACAACTATCTCGTGCAGTTTCGACCACGAGGGTTGCAACCCCTAATTTATGTCATCGAAATTTTTACCTTCTCCATTCCTATTTTTGAAAAAAAAGTCCATAATGAGCTTAAAAAAATTGGAAAAAATATTACCGTGGATAGAATAAGAATAAAAAATTTACCTGTTCAAACTTATTTTCAAAACCACCCTCAATGTTGAAAAACCATCCTAAAAAAAGTTTCTGACATATCGTTGCAATCTCTTCTAAATCAAATAAGCTATGATTCCATAGCTATTTTGTTGCTCTCTTTTAAATTTTTTACGTTCTGTCGTTTATTAATTCTATCAAAAAATAAATAACTTTTATTATATAAAAAAACAAGTCAAGAATAATATAATATTATAAGTATACCTAGAAGATAAGTATAGTTTCTCGGATGCGCAAAAATTTTGGTATATGAATGATAGTATTATCAGAATTTTATTTACGTCCTACTATCAGCGTCTCTGACGATTGTCTGTTATTTTCATGATTGATAAATATGAGTAAGTAATTCTTCATCAGTAGCCAACACAACTTTCTTGTTGTTGGACGTATTGTATCGACTATTGAACTAACAGCATAATAAATAGTAATAAGAATATAAGATTATAAGTACAAATAATAATAAGATACTATTCCGTTAATTCGTATTTCGTAGTACCTGCTACGTAAGTATAACTATAAAATTATTTTTTATATGCAAATAATTTTACGGCTTTTTAATATTTGTTATTAAAAAAATTGAAATTACACTGATTATGAGGATTTATTAATTAATGATGTTTATAATTATTGTTTACTTATTGATTTGTTTATTATTATTGTTTATTAATTAATATGTTTACTTTTTAATTTATTAATTAATTTTTTTCATGAATGTTTTCTATAAGTTTGTTTATCATTATTGTTTACTTATCAATTTGTTTATTTATTTGTTTTTATCCTAATTTGTTTATTTGTTATTCAGTTTATTTCTTATTCCCCAGCGATATGAGGAGAGACCTATACAGAGGAAAAATAAGGAAAAAAAGGGGACGGATGGATGGACGGACGCACGGAGAATTTCGCGCCTTCTGTTTAATATAATAGAAGATATATAAGATATATATATATATATATTTATTTTTATTTCAGATTAAAAAATGAAAATTAACGCTCTGAACGTTTTAAATTTATTATTAGCTTACTTTCAAACTCTACAAATACCTGAAAGTGAGACAAATTATAAAGAGATTCAATTGTCGGAAAGAATTAAAAGCATTTTAATAGATTCCGTGAATGATTTCAATGAAGTAGATATGATCGTTGAAGATACATTAGATTTTCAAGAAGATTACAAAGATCATGCTGCAAAAATAGTAGAAGATGAAGTTCAACACCATTTTCCTGACGATTTCGAAGCACCCACCGACCATTGTACCAAAGACAATGAAGATGTCAGTTTTGAATATAAGCAAAGAGCCGTAGAATACTGGAGAAGTGGCAAAAAAAAAAATTTAAGTGTTGAAAGTGTACGTCAAAAATTTAAGAAAGTTTCATCTGTGAGTCAGTTGAAACGTTGGGCTCATACAGTCAACAAAGGTGGTACTTATAGAGAAAAAATTGCAAGAATTTGTCAGTACACTTTCGATAATTTTAAAGCAGCAGTAGACGCTGGTTACATCATTCATGATCGTGACATACGTCGATGGACATTGCAAGCTCAAAAGATTATAGGATCAGAAGATGTAAGATTCAAAGCTTCGGATAACTGGCTTTGTAAATTCAAGAAAGCTCATAGAATAGTATCCCGGAAAATAAATAAGTTTATAACCAAGAAAACACTAGAAAGTAATTCAGAACTAACGATTAAAGCAAATACTTTTATTGCTGATGTTAAAGCAGGCTTAAGAATAATTGGAATTCATAATGTGTTTAATTCTGATCAGAGCGGATTCCAACTGGAAATGCACTCCGGAAGAACGCTAGCGGTTGAAGGAGAAAAGCAGGTACAGTGTTTAGTACAGTCAGTTTCTTCAACAACCCACAGTTATACTATACAGCCACTCATATCAGCCACAGGATAATTACTGTCACCACTCTTTTTAGTTTTGAAGGAATCTAGCGGTGAGTTTGGACCCATTGTTGAAACCACTTTATTTAGACCCGAAAATGTTTACATAGAAGCATCTAAATCTGGAAAGTTGACTACAGGTATACATAATCCCATCTAGTTACAATTAATGTCATTATAAATGATTTTACAAATAAGATTTTTGATTTTAGATCTCTTTAAAATATGGCTGCAAAAAGTATATTTCCCTAATGTAGGTTCCAATATGATGCTGTTGCTTGACTCCTGGAGCGGTCATTGTGACAGTGCCATAGAAACTGTAACTCCACGTGATAAAATTATAAATTTTAAAAAAATACCGACTGGCACAACGGGAAAAATTCAGCCACTTGATGTTTTTGGATTTCGCATATGGAAGAACTTTGTCCGCCAATTTTCAGATACCGTAATTTTGATGAATTATGATTTGGATTTACATAAAAGAAACAACATTATTAAACTTCAGTCGTTAGTCCACAATCAATTATCTTCACCAAGATATACTAATCTCTTTAAATATTCCTGGTTCAAGAGTGGTTACCTCACTAAAAAACCAGAAAATTTTGACAATCCTGTTGCTTACAGTTTTGGAGATTCCTGCAATACACATTGTGACATAGAAGGATGCAAAAATGTGGCTATTATACGTTGCGGTTGGTGCAAAAAATCATTATGTTTCGAGCACTTCTATGAAGAATATCATTATTGTAAGAAGTATGAACAATAAATCCGTCCTAATTTTTTTGATTGTTTTTAATTGGTAACTGAATGAATTATAGTAACGTATATAAAAATCAATTAAATATATATTACTTGGCAGTTTACAATTTTAGTCACAAGAAAGGAGAAAAACTCAACCAACAAAAACAATGGCAATGCTATCAACCCTCCTAATCACCGAATGGCGATGGTAATAAATCTCCCCCTAATAACCCTCCTAATATCCCCCAATGGCATTGCTTACAACCCCCCATTAACCTCCTAATAACTCCCCCCCCCCCAATAAGACCCTCCCCCTAATAACCCCCTAATAACCCCAGTAGTTAGCTGGGTTGATAACGTTGCCATTATGTTATTCGGTGGGTTGCAAGCATTGCCATAAGGTTGCAAGGAGGCTCAGCTATGTCTTCGGGCTATTCGTGGAGGGCTAATGGCATTTTCATTGGAGGTTTTTAGGGGGTTATTAGGGGGGGTTGTAAGCATTCTGATAGTGCGGGTTAGTGCGGGAAATTGCCATTGGGATATAAGGGGAGTTTTAGAAATTGCTACTGGGTGATGGATCATTTTTCCGGACAGATTCGGAATCGGCGCAACAAAATACTTTGGAAAAACGTTGTCCCAGTTCTGGGTCTTGTTGGGTGATATAATCTTGAATTGGTACATATTTTTCGTATTCTAACCACGATAATAATTTTTCCAATTTTTTAAGCTCATTATGAACTTTTTTTCAAAAATAGGAATGGAGAAGGTAAAAATTTCGATGACATAAATTAGGGGTTGCAACCCTCGTGGTCGAAACTGCACGAGATAAATGTGTTTGTACATTATAAGTGATGAGCAACATATTTTACAGTAAATTATCAACACCACCTGTAATGTATTGGAAACAATTTTTTGGGGGTGGTTTTTCAACATAAGGGGTGGTTTTAAAAATAAAAGATAAATTTTTTTTCCTTATTCTATCCACGGTAATATTTTTACTAATTTTTTCAAGCTCATTATGAACTTTTTTTTAAAAATAGGTACAAAGAAGGTAAAAATTTCGATGACAGAAATTAGGGGTTGCAACCCTTGTGGTCGAAACTGCACGAGATAGTTGTTTTTGTACAG